CACAAAAAGATCGGATTTTTTCAAAAAATCGGAACTGAGCATTAAGACCTGCAGTGTGAACGTAGCCAAAGTTATTTAAAAAGGTTCCGGACGAAGGAATTAAAAAAAAAAGACTCAAGCAGCATGTCAGCCTCAGCAGAGGAGAGAGGAGGGAGGGAGGAGGGTGTGCTGCTTCAGAACCACTTATACTGGGTTGAAGTCAGACAGAAACAACAAGTATGAAGCAAAAAGTAAAGAATTAGAGAAAAAAATAAATGTTAAATGTAAATAAATTCTAATTATAATAAATTAATAATAGTTTTACATCTAAAAATCATATTTTATTATTTTAATGTATTTTCCTCATTCAGCAACCTATTAAATTTCTGTTATGTTTCATGTAGGAGAAATACACATTTTTTTCAGTCAGTATTTAATACAGCTGGCAAAATAAATTGCTAAAATATGTATTATGTGCTTCTGTTTTTTTAATTCAGGAGATTATTAAAAAAATCCTTCATTTTATGGGAAGACCCTTTTGATTCAAGAGAAAACTCAGGTTTAAAAAATGGCTGCTTATTAATTAATTGTTAATCAATCTATAAGATAAATCAACTTCAGATCAATTCATTATCAGTAACTTGCATCCTTAAGGAGTTAATTTATATCTACTCATATTCATGTAATTAAGCATTTAAATGATTTGGCCGATTAATCAAAAAAATAATCGACAGATTAATCGATGATTAAAATAATCGTTATTTGCAGCCCTACACGCGACACAATGAATCGATAATCAAATTCATTGCCAACGCTTTTAATAATAGATTTTTTTTTGATTTTATCGATTCACTGTTGCGGCCCTATTCCTAATATCGTGCAGCTCTACTTTACGTTTACTTCACACACTGATGGTGAGCTACATGGTAGCCACAGCTGCCATGGGGCAGACTGACAAATGATACGCTTGTAAATGAACATTTTATGAGTTTAAGTCACATTTTAAAGCTAAATTTAATATATGGTACTAATTTTTTAGTTAATTATGGTGTTAAATCAAAAGTAATTATTATGGCTATGATTTAAATGCCTGTTAATAAAGATACCAGAGGCAAACTGCTTTTTTTGTTTGTTTGTTTCTTTTTATTTTTGGGCTCGGAACAAAACTGAAAACAACTATGCTGGGTAATAATATTAATAATAATAATAAAAAAGGCGCGACACTAATTCACCTGACTTCACACAGAACTTTTTGTTGGATGAAACCACTGTGTGAGTTTAATTTCATTTGGGAAAAAACAAAAACACAAAATGGTTGTGAGTCTCCTACACCTCAGCGGATGCTGTAGCTTATTAGAAACCACAGAAACAGCACAATTTATGTTCTAACTAAAAACACAACATGAGTTTTGTCACACAGCTTACAACCGTTACTCATTCCAAAACAACGGCTTTCACTGTCTCCATCCCAATGATATACAATAATATAAATGCAATTACTCTGCTCCAAATCACAGAACAATTTGGTTGCTGTTTCACTTGTTTCTGAAAGGCAGAACCCTGAAAGGACTGAGGGGAAATGTTATTTACTACACGGCTGTTAAACGCTGAGCCCTGAAGCACACGAGCATCCTGGACCAAAGCAGGAGACTCGGATCCTTCTAATGAGCTACAGATGAAGAGGGGAAACATCACAGGAAAAACTCATTCCAGCTGCTTTGTGGTTTTCACCTTTTGGTGCTAATGTTTGTGCACAGCGTCAACTGATTTGCTTTTGGGCGCCAGTTCAAGATGGCTGCCTCAGCTAATCAAACTCAGCTCACAACGATGGCTTTAACCCAGTCAGATATTGAGCTACAATCATGTGTGGTGGTAGCTGAGAACCATCTCCAACACAGTGTTGTATAAAGTACCACAAAGTGATACTTGAGTAAGAGTACAAGTATCTTACCAAAGAAATACTTTGGTAAAAGTTAAAGTCTCCTTTAGGAATATTACTAGAGTAAAAGTACAAGTATTTTACCAAAAATACTTTGGTAAAAGTTAAAGTCTCCTTTAGGAATATTACTTGAGTAAAAGTCTTAAAGTATCTGATATTTTTTGTAGTTAAGTATTAAAAGTAAAAGTATTGATTTTAAATGAGCAGTTAGAT